CCAATCACTCCACAGAACACAGCCACCAATCACTCCACAGAACACAACCACCAATCACTCCACAGAACACAGCCACCAATCACTCCACAGAACACAGCCACCAATCACTCCACAGAACACAGCCGCCAATCACCCCACAGCACACAGCCACCAATCACCCCACAGCACACAGCCGCCAATCACTCCACAGCACACACCACCAATCACTCCACAGAACACAGCCACCAATCACTCCACAGCACACACCACCAATCACCCCACAGCACACACCACCAATCACCCCATAGAACACAGCCACCAATCACCCCACAGAACATAGCCACCAATCACTCCACAGAACATAGCCACCAATCACCCACAGCACATGGCCACCACTCCACAACACACAGCCACCAATCACCTCACAGCACACAGCCACCAATTATTCCATGGACACAGATACCAATCACTCCACAGAACATAGTCACCAATCACTCCACGGAACACAGCCATGAATCACTTCACAGAACATAGCTACCAATCATTCCATGGAACACAGACACCAATCCACAGCACATAGCCACCCATCACTGCATAGAGCATGGCCACGAATCACCCCACAGAGCACAGTGCTAGGCCCAGCATGAAGGGCCATGGGACGGCCACAGTGGCTGTGAGGAGGCGAGAGCCCCTGTCCCACGCCCGTCCCACACCTGTCGAGAGTCCCTTTCCCACGCCCGTCCCACACCAGTCCCACACCCGTTGAGAGCCCCTGTCCCACACCTGTCCCACACCCATCGAGAGCCCCTGTCCCACGCCCGTCCCACACCTGTCGAGAGTCCCTGTCCCATGCCCATCCCACGCTCATCCCACGCCCGTCGAGAGCCCCTGTCCCACACCTGTCCCACACCAGTCCCACACCTGTCAAGAGCCCCTGTCCCATGCCTGTCCCATGCCCGTCCCACACCTGTCAAGAGCCCCTGTCCCATGCCTGTCCCATGTCCCACGCCCGTCCCACGCCCGTCCCATGCCTGTCCAGAGCCCCTGTCCCATGCCTGTCCCATGCCTGTCGAGAGTCCCCTGTCCCATGCCTGTCGAGAGTCCCCTGTCCCATGCCTGTCCCATGTCCCACGCCCGTCCCATGCCTGTCCAGAGCCCCTGTCCCACGCCCGTCCCACGCCCGTCCCATGCCTGTCCAGAGCCCCCATCCCACACCCGTCCTGTGCCTGTCTACCGGGACGGGCCATGGACGGCCCGCGCCAATGAAGCCGACAGCAGTCATTCTGGTTGCCAGGGCCTGTGGAGGTCATCACAGCCCTAACTCAGAGGCAGGGTGGCACCGTGGGCTGCGGTGTGGGGCCCTGAGCTGGGAGGGGGTGTCCGCACAGTAGGGACAAGGCCACCCTGGAGTGACGCCCCGTCCTCCTGCCTCCCCAGGGTCTTCGGCCACATCAGCTTCCGCTCTGACTGGGAACTGGTCAAGGTGGACTTCCGGCCGTCCTTCCCAAGGCCGTGTGGAGATGAGGACTACAGCTCCTGGAACCTCACGGACCTCCAGGTGTGTGTGCGGGGGGGGGGGACCCCCGCACAGGCTGCTCTGCTGCCCACGGCGCCCCCAGCCCAAGGAGCCTCTCCCCCGGGGACCCCTCACAGACTCCCCACACAGGGCTTGTCCAAGCCTTCCCGGCACCCGCAGCTGCCCTGGGCCGAGGGCCTTGTCATGCAGGCTGCGGCTCCCCGGCTCACCCAGGAGGCAGGGATTCAGGTGCCATGTTCGCACCAGGCGGCTTCATGGGCTTCGCTGGAACTGGCTAACAGGGAGGCAGGAGAAGCTTCCAGAACCTGACTGCAGCTGGATCAGGCAGTCTGCCAGCCCTGTGCTTGTCCCGGCCCTGGGTGCTCCAAGCCTTCCCCTGGACCTGCCGAGAGTCCACACGGCCCTCAAAGCTGCGGCCGTCCCACGCCCTCCCCCCCCCGCGACCGGGAGCTCCTGGGGTCATGGATCCCACAGTCCTGTGACCCTCAGGGCCCAGCCAGGCCAGCGCACAGTTGGTACGCGGCGGTAGGCAACGGAAGAGGGAAGCTGCCTCATCCTGGCCTCACGCGTGCCTAGTCCCTTTCCAGGCCTCAGTTTCCCCTCCTGTCCCCTCTGTTGCCCAAAGGGTGGTCAGGACAAACTGGTGGAGAGCCAGCCCCTTCCGGGCCGGTCCCTCATCCTGGTCCCCTGCTACAGGGTGACCACTGCATTATGGGCCAGCAGAGAAGTTTCCGGAAGAGGAAGTCCACATCCTGGTGTGTCAAGGGGCGGAGCTTCACGTCGGCCCTCACTTCACGCGTGTGCCAGTGCCGGGACTCCGACTTCCTCTGGTGAGTACGAACTCTCCAGGCAGGCCACGGCCTCACGCTCACAGGACGCCTGCTGCAGGGCCTCCAGCCTACCTGCCGGCCTCCCTCCCC